ATGTATATATTATATATATATTACATATATGTATATATATATATATATGTTCACAGCTTAACTATATGCCGTTTGTTATAGGTTACTCCATATTTTTATATTGGCAGTGTAGATACGTTTGAACGATCTCTGGCAGCCGCGCAACAGCATCTTGGCATTAATCCGGAAAATCAAGTCACCGTTATTTATAATCCGGTCGATACAACGTGAGTAATGTGTTGGTCTAGGAAAATTTTTAATCGAAATTTGTCTATTTCTAAGTCCTGAAAAACTTTTTTTTATAGGTCCGTGATTAGCAGTTTAATCCCTGTGGCCATATTGTTTTTGCTAGCGTGGCCTATCATCAGAATGTTCTTTAGCTCAAGGCGATCATCAGGTTTGATTTTCGAAGTTTTTTGTTGTCCTCAGGATTGCAGTACGTTTTAATTTATTCCAGTTTATTAAAAAGTTGTGTTATTTAGGCAAGGACATTGCAGGCGGTCGTGGCGGAGCGAATCCTTTCGGTGGTGGAGGGCCGTTTAATATGTTTGGATTTGGACAAAGTACAGCAAGAGTGATCAATAAAAATGATATCGATGTAAAGTTCAGTGACGTTGCTGGTTGTGAAGAAGCGAAAATAGAAATAATGGAGTTCGTTAATTTTTTGAAAAATCCAGAGCAATATAAGAAACTTGGTGCTAAAATACCTAAGGCAAGTTTACTTTTGCATGTTTTTGTATATTCCAGATTTCAAAATTTAGACAACGAATTTCAAAATCAGACGAAAATTAATTTTGTCCAAAAATTTTCTTAGGAATCAGTTTGCCAAAACATTATACTTTTTCCATCCAGGGCGCAATTCTAACTGGTCCACCAGGCACTGGTAAGACACTGTTGGCTAAAGCGACTGCTGGTGAAGCAAATGTGCCGTTCATAACAGTCAGTGGTTCAGAATTTCTGGAAATGTTTGTGGGCGTTGGTCCAGCGCGTGTTAGAGATATGTTCTCTATGGCTCGCAAAAATGCACCCTGCATATTATTTATCGGTGTGTTTTTTACTATCTTTCTATTCTTTTAATGGTGATTCGTTGATTTAATAATAGCTGAAATAAGGTAGTATTAATCAAAGCTTGTGTATTGGATGCACATTCAGAATATTACTTTGTAATAAAATACAAGGCAACTAGCATTTGTAAATTTTATGATAAAATGGAATTACATGTGTACTGTATATATAATTGTATATATATATGTACTGTCGAATTGTTATTAATGACAATATCCTTTTCTCTAGTGA